GGGAACTGGGAGGAGGGGAGTTATGGGGGGGGAAAAAAGAGGAACAAATGTAACCTGAACAATAAAGATTTAATTAAAAAAAATAAAAAAAAATAAAAAAAAAAGAAACTGTCGCTATTTATGACTATACTAGAGGCCTGATGCACGAAATTCGTGCAAGAATAGGCCTTCCTTCCGCACCGGCTTCCCTCTCTCACCCAGGACCTGGGCTTCCCTTGCTATGGGAAATTTTCAAAAAGAAGAGTAATGTTGGGGCGGGGGGGGGGACTTTTCTCCCAAATATTATGAAACCTCTTTAATTAAAACATCACTGGAATACAAGAGTACAGAATTAGACCCCAGTAAAAATGGCATGGTTAATTTAATGAAAGGTATTGAAACAACTAGCCATTTATAACAAAATAAATATAGACTCCTACTTCTCTCCTTATTCCAAAATAAACTCCAGATGGAGCAGAGATTTCAATATAAAAATTAACCATACGAGTCCACAAAGAAACTATTTAAATAAATATATTTATAGTCTTGAAATGGGAAAGGCTTTCCTAAAAATAGCCCAAAACTCAGAAGCCATAGGATATTTTTATTCTATGTCTTGCATGGCACAAAACACCATTTAAAAAGATGACAAACTTGGAAAACATATGTGTAACACATATGGCAAGAAGATAACATCCCTAAAAATAAAGATGCTTTTCAAAATCAATTACAAAGACAACCCAGTAGAAAAAAAACAGGCAAAGGACTTAAACAAGCAATTCACTCAGGAAGCTCCCTGCTCCACTGCCCCCTCCCACCTTTATATAAATTCTCTGAATCACCTTCGCATAGAAAATAAAAGTCTTTGAGCCCAATGGTCAGTGAATAGAGCGTCAGCCTGTGGACCGAAAGGTCCCAGGTTTGATTCTGGTCAACGGCGCGTACCTTGGTTGCAGATTCCTCCCTGGCCTGGGCCCTGGTCAGGGTGTGTGCAGAAGGCAACCAATTGATATGTTTCTCTCTAATCGATATTTCTGTCTTTCCCTCTCTCTTCCACTCTCCTTAAAAATCAATGGAAAAATATCCTCAGGTGAGGATTAACCAAAAATAAATAAATAAATAAATAAGAAAATAAAAGTGTTTGCTTTGTTTTAAAAAATATTTTCTTTTCTGATAAACCACTATAAGCAAAAGCAACAAACAAGAAACTGGAAAAAGTAAAGAGCTTCTAGAAATCAATGAAATAAAGACTAACGGTCCAATTGGCACAGGATGCCAGCAAACGCTTACAAGGACATGAAAGGAAACATGTCCCTCAGCCAGTAAAAGATGCTCACTCTCACACTTAAGAAAAATGTAAATTAAACAATAATAATTTCAAAATAAAAAAATGTAAATTAAAGTGGCAGATATGAAATGACCTTTTTTCCATAAAGAAGACCATCTTGAATTCATAGGTTATATACTATCAAAAGAAAAATAAAGACACAAGGAGCTTGATTGACTCATTAATTAAACTCAGTACCTTTTCCTAAGCCGGCAATTCCAACAAAACCATTCCTTTATGTTATAGGGTCCATAGATCTCAAAAAAAAAAAAAGACCTTTTTTCAAAGTCAGAAAGTTTGATAACTGTTTACAAGGTATGAGGAAACAGATACTCTCATATACTGCTGGTGATGGTGTCAATTGAGACAGGCTCCATAGAGAATAATTTGGCAATAACTAATACAAGTCTAAAATGTACGTTTTGATCCAGCAATCCCACTTCTTAGAGTTTATTCGACATATATCCTTGCAAATCTAGATTCCCCATCCTAGCAGAAGACTGAAAGTTTATTCTTTGAAAGAAGCAAAACGAAGAGCTTCTGTATACAGGGGATGCTAAACCGCATTAGGTCACAAGTAGTATCTTGGAAATAGGAAGGGGCCCTGGCAGGGTAGCTCGGTTAGAGCAGAGTCCAGATGCACCAAGGTTTTGGGTTTGATCTCTGATCAGGGCACATACAAGAAGCAAACGATGAATTCATAAATGAATGGGACAACAAATCTCAATCTCTCACTCTCTCGCTCTCTCTCCCCCCCCCCCCCCCCACCTTCCTCTAAAAAAAATAAATTAAAAAAAAAAAAACAGTGACCTCCCGGTCATCACTGATTCCATTCCCAGTCAGGGCACATGCCTGGGTTGTGGGCTCACAATCCCCAGTTGGTAATGTGCAGGAGGAAGCCATCAATGTTGATGTTTCTCTCTAAATGTTTCTTTTTCTTTTTCTTTTTAGAGGACGTTTATTAAAGCTGGGACAATGAAACAAGGAACGGCCTATGATAGAAGCAACAGGAGAGACACTATGCAAGGAAGTGAGCGTAGGCTGGGCTGCTGTGGCTCACTAAGGAGTCAGAGAAAAGGGGCCTTGGTGACAGGGGCAGGGGGTTAGCCTGGGGCCAGCTGCTGCTGCCCATGCTTATTTTCTGAAGTTTCTTACATAAATGTCATACTGTTTTTGCTTATTTTCTGAAGTTTCTTACATAAATGTCATACTGTTTTTGCTTCATGGATGCAGTATCTACTCATCTGAGAATGTCAGCATTGGTTTTAAAATGTTCATCTCCTTGCATAGTCTTTTTCTCCAACGTTGCTTTTCTCCTGTTCATCGGTTTTGATCTCTAAAGCTCACATTTAGAGGCTCCTCTCAGATGTCTGGTTAACCCTTGGTTGTCTGCTTACGATTAAGAGCATATTTGCAAGCCTCGCTGCGGGGGGCGGGGGGGGGTGTCCCTTAGAGTTTAGGAGATGCATACCTGTGGAGAAAGAGAGAGAAACTGCTGTGGGGGGCAGGGTGCTCCTGGGGCGGGGAGAGGGTCTCATCCATGTTTCTATCTCTCCCTCACTCTCCCTTCCTCTCTCTCTAAAATCAATAAAAACATATTTTTAAAAAGCAGACAAAACAGAAAATGAGATTGAGCATATGATTACTGAATGCTGGGCTCCCATCCTTTTGTCCTCACTAGGCTCCCAGGACACTGACTACCAAATGCTTACTTTCTGTGCAGAAATCTCAGGAGATTCTTTCCTGGAGAATCTAACGGTTCCCAAGATATAAACGTAAGAGTTTCGACACATGCAGATCACCCTCCGTTGAACCCCAAAGTCTGAAGGTCCTAAAAACCATGTGCTCAGATATTCAAACAGATTTTTAGCCCTAGACTTTTTTTTAATCCTCACCCAAGGGTTTTTTTCCCATTGTTTTGTTTTTTGTGGTTTTTATTTTTGAGTGAAAGAGTGGAAGGGAGGGAGGAGGGGGAAAGAGAGAGAGAAACATTGATGTGGCAAAGACATATCCATTGGTTGTCTCCCACACATGCCCTGACCCTGACTGGGGATCAAGCCTACAACCGAGGTACATGCCCTTGACCGGGAATTGAACCCGAGACCCTTCGGTCTGTGGGCTGACGTTCTAACCACTAGGCAAAACCAGCTAGGTCTAGCGCCCAACTCTTAATTGTAAGCAGACAACCAAGGATTACCCAGACATCTGAGAGGAGCCTCTAAATGTGAGCTTTAGAGATCAAAACCGATGAACAGGAGAAAAGCAACGTTGGAGAAAAAGACTATGCAAGGAGATGAACATTTTAAAACCAATGCTGACATTCTCAGATGAGTAGATACTGCATCCATGAAGCAAAAACAGTATGACATTTATGTAAGAAACTTCAGAAAATAAAAAAGTTCTTGGGTACTAAAAACATGATAGCAGGAATGAAAGGACTAGAAAGGTTGGAAAAGAACATTGAGAAAATCTCCCAGAAGGAGCCAGGAGACAAGGAGGAATCACAGGAGAATAAGAAAGGGGACCGCCCCAGCAGGCCCGACCTCCGAGCAGGGAGGAGACGATCATCCACAGATATTCCAGAGAAACGTCCAGAACTGAAGGACGTGAGATCACAGAGTAAATGAACCCACCGAGTGCCCAGCAAAATGGATAAAAATAAACCCACGCTAGACGCAACATTGTGAAATGCTAGAACACTCGGGAACCAGACAAGATCCTACCAGCCTGCAGAGAGGAAAGGTCACGTGAAGGATCAGAAACCAGGATGGCTTCAGACTTGGCGGCAGCCACACCAAAGCCAGAAGGCAGGCTGGAATACAAGCTCTTTGACTTTGTCTCTATGACCTTGGTGTTTCTTGTTCACGGATGAATCCAGGTACTTAGAGGCAGTGCCAGACATGTACAAGGTTCTCAATAAAAGTTTATTGAATGGCCCAGCTGGTGTGGCTCAGTGGTTGAGCATTGACCTGTGAACCAGGAGGTCACAGTTAGATTCCGGGCCAGGGCACATGCCCGGGTTGGGGGCTCGATCCTCAGGGGGGGGGCGTGGAGGAAGCAGCCAACCAATGATTCTCTCTCTCATCGTTGATGTTTCTATCTCTCCTCCTTCCTCTCTAAATTTAATAAAAATATTTTTTAAAAATTGTTGAATGAAAGAGAACAATACTTTCAAAATGCTGAGGAAAAGTTTCTTGCCACCTGTAACACAGTTAGATCCGGGCCAGGGCACATGCCCAGGTTGTGGGCTCGATCCTCAGGGGGGGGGGCGTGGAGGAAGCAGCCAACCAATGATTCTCTCTCTCATCGTTGATGTTTCTATCTCTCCTCCTTCCTCTCTAAATTTAATAAAAATATTTTTTAAAAATTGTTGAATGAAAGAGAACAATACTTTCAAAATGCTGAGGAAAAGTTTCTTGCCACCTGTAACTAATCCCCGGGGAAATATCAGTCAAGTCCGGGGTAGAGGCAAGACATGGTTGGACATAGAAGGACTCAAACACTCTACCCTCTGTGTACCATTTCTCAGGAAGCTATGCTAGGATATGTTCCATCAAAATGAGAGACTACCAAAGAGAGGCCAGCAGCACAGGAAGCGGGAGCTCTAACGCTGGGGTGGGGGGGGGGGGCACAAGGGGTCCTTGGGAAGATGGTGAAGAGACCCCAGGTACTCGTTCTGCATGAGAGGTAAAGCCGCCACACCCACCGCCATGCAGCACCGTGAGCCTGAGAACAGACGGCCCAGATGTCCTGGCCTTAGCTTGCCTGGACTGTGTGCCTGTCTAGTGAGTTTCCTGCCTCCCTTCCACCCCTGCCACCTGAATTCACAGACAGCGTTCATCTCACTCCAGAAGATGCTCTGCTCTGACCTACTCCTGAGAGCAGGGGGTGGGGCAGGATGGACTAGGAAGGAGAACACAGCAAACCCCAGGCATCCTGACCCCATTCCTGAGAGACAGCTGAACCGGGCCGCCCTGCGCTGCAGCCAAGTGCTCCGCCCGCGGCGACCCATTTCCCACATCCCGTCACAGCCACGCTGTCTCAGGTCCACGGGGCCGCCCCAGGCTTGCTGACCCGCCGCCGGGAGGGCTCACAGGACTCTGCCGACAGCTGTGCGCAAGGCTTGGCTTTGTTACCACCAAAAGACGCACAGAAAGCCAGCCGAGGGAAAGGGTGATGGGCAACGCCTAGAGGAGCAGGCAGGAGCCAGGAGTGGAGCCACACGGGACACACTCAGTTCCTCCAGCATCGCATCTGTGACAGCGCATGTGGCCTGTGTCAGCCAGGGAGCTCCTTAGGCACTCAGCCCCCAGGGTTTTGATTGGAGGCCGGTCACATGGGCCCCTCTGCCTGGCACACACGGAGCTGCCAGACTCCCTGAAAGGAAGCAGGTGTTCGGCATAAACCACACTGTTTGCAGTTTATGCACAAAGGGCCGCTCGGCTTTCAGGGGACGCCGGAGCCCTCCTGACACCGAGCTCCCAGATGACAGCCAAGGGCCAGCCTGGCTAGGAGGCCTCTCGAAGGGTCCCCTGCTGGGTCTGCCCTGTGAACTGTCCGCCCAGTCACCGCTGATCTTCAAGGGGCTCCTGTAAACAATCGGAAGCTGAAGGCAGACTGTGACGGAGAACCTGCACTCAGTCTGTATTTTCCTGGAAACCTTCCATTGGATGGTGGTCCACGGCCCTGTCCTTACACAGTGAGGTCTGTGCTTGCCATTTCACTTTTGTATGTTTCATTCACTGAGAGAGAGTGTTGAAAGGTGCACACCAAGGTGGTAAAACCGCAAACGAAAGCGAGGGAGTGTTCATGGGTTTTGCCCCCCAAACCCCAATCTCCTTTCCCGGTGGTCACAGTGGTCACTAGGCACAGGGCTGTCCCCAGGCTCCGCAGTCCTCGCCACCCCCTGCAGGTAAGTATGGCCACGTGACTGAGGTCTTGCTTATGGACCCGCAGCAGAAGCGATGGCAGCTCTGGGTCTGGGTCTGAGACTTCAGGGAGCCATTCCCATTCCTGCCAGCTGGCACCCAGCCATGCCATGACGCAGCTTCAACCACACAGCTGGTGAGATGCCCAGTGACGGTGGAAAGCAAAGACATAGAAATCAGGTTCCCAAGTGACCCGGTGGAGCAAGAGCTGCCCCACCCACCTGCACTGTTCACATCAGACCAGCAGGTGAGAAAACGGCATTTCTTCCTTCAGTGTCGAATGCATTTGTGTCCCTCCCGCCCTAATAATACAAAATGATAACAGACGACAGAGTGGGAGCCACTCAGAGAGGCCACAGGTGCTTCTAAGATCTGCAAATGTTCTGTTTCTTAACCTGATGGGTACGCTGGTATTGGTTTTATCCCCCCCGATTTTTTTTAAATCCTCGCTTGAGGATATTTTTTCATTTTTTATATATTTTTCAAAGAGGAAGGGAAAGGAATGGAGAGATAGAAACATCAATGATGAGAATCATTGATCTGCTGCCTCCTGCACACCCACTACTGGGGATCAAGCCCACAACCCAGGCATGTGCCCTTGGCCAGAATTGAACCTGGGACCCTTCAGTCTGCAGGCCGACGCTCTATCCCCTGAGCCAAACCAGCTAGGGCCAAGGATATTTTTTCCCCATTGAATTTTGGAGAGAGTGAAAGGAAGAGGGAGAGGGAGAAACACCGATGTAAGAGAGACACATCGATAGGTTGCCTCCTCCTGCATGCCGACTAGGGCTGGGAGCCTGCAACCAATGTACATGCCCTTGACTGGAATCAAACCCGGGACCCTTTGGTCCACAGGCCAACGCTCTATGCACTGAGCCAAACCAGCTAGGACTATTTCCATTCTTTTAATTATACACATATATATTTTACATAGTCTTTTGCATATGTATATGTGTGTGTATGAATCTTTCCACAATTTTAATTTTCTTAAATTGATTTTGGAGAGAGAGGAAGGGAGAGAAGAGAAAGAGATATCAATTTGTTTTCCACTTAATCATGCATTCATAGGTTGATTCTTGTATGTACCTGACCAGGGATCAAACCCACAATCGTGGTACATCAGGATGACACTCTAATCAACTGAGCTACCCAGCAAGGGCCTGCATCCCTACACAATTTTAAAAAGAAAGTTAAAAATACAGTAATAAGCTCAGCCAGCATGGCTCAGTGGTTAAGCGTTGACTTATGAACC